ATGGATTGTTCCTCACTCTCTTATAAAAGGAAATCCCACTTTTCATATTTTGCACATATAATTGTGTTCTCCCAGTCTGCAATTTTTAATGTTCTTATTTTTAAAAAAGCAGAAAACCCAAGTTGCATTCACTGATATTTATCAGAGTTAGAAAACTGCAGCATTGTGTTAAGATAAGTAAAATTACAGCAGACTTTCCCAACACAGTTGTAATGCAGTTGTGCTGGACTACAACTCCCATCATTCCTGTCTAGCATGTCCAGCAGTGGAAAAGGTAGAACAGGCAGAGAAAAGGGAGCTACCTGAAATGAAGTCAGAAAACAACAAGTTAATGTCAGTCTCCCATAGATGTCTAAAGACAGAGGACACTTGCTGCTAATGAATAGGGCAGGCTTTTCAGCACAGTTCTTCCCTAGATCTTCTTTACACAATGCAACTGTATAAAGCTCTTCATTTCATGATATAATTGACAATGTAGCTTAAGCCACTAATTTTATGGTTTACATCACACATTCTGTAATTCATAAGTATCCTTATCAAACAAGGGTTTAGCAGTAATACAATGACAGCACATTAGCACAGGGGAACCTTCTGTTTTTCCAGAGGGGAACTGCATACTGTACACTAAACTCCCTTGCAAAAATGCTCCCAAGAGTCTATGTAGCACATAAGATGCTACAACCTTTAGGTTTCTACTCATCCATGAAATTCAGTGGGTGACCGATTACTATACACTACCTCATAGCCTAACCTTTTACTTGGTGCTTGTGGGAAGAAAATGGAAGAAAACCTCATAGACATTTAGTTTGTGCCACTTAGAGGTAGAACAAGATACAAATGTAATACAAAGTGAGAAAGATCAATAGACCTTTACTCCTTGCAGTATTTCTCTAAAGGAGGAGAAGTATTGTCTTGCTCCTGTACAGAAGGATTTGCCCAAGAAAATATAGTGCAAATTCTATTTGGAAGGGCAGTCAGTAATGCTACAGTCATATAAAAGACAAGCACGAACACAAAAAGCTAATGGAAGAGAAAAATTATAAAATGGCTGAGGCAAACTGCTGAGAATTAACAACAGTTTCAAAACCCAGACCTTATGGTCCCCTTTTATTCAGCTGTTCCATGCCCCCAGTGCCCTGTTACATCAACTCTAGCAACTTTCTTTTCCAGGACTTTTGGTTCAACTTCAATAAAACCTTTATTTTCCATTTTCCTTCCACATCAGAATCATTGACTTTGCTTTCTAAACTTAAGGTAAGTTTGAAATTGCAATCTGTAAGATCTGTAGCATGATAGCCTCTTATGAATGGCAGTACTACCATATATAGACAACTATAAGTCAACCTCATATTTGGCATATTTGGGGGGGCAAAATTATGGATTCTGATATGACCTGTGCATAAGTCAAGGGTAAAACTTAGAGGCATGTAACAAAGGATATAAAGGATGAAGCTAGGGGGAAATGATGCCAAAGAACTTACAAAATTCTGGCAGGTATAACTTTGTGCTTTTCCAGCCCAGGCATTCAATAAGGGTCAGAAGTGGAGCCATGGTGAAAGAGTAGAGAGGTTGGTGCTTTTTTTTACGTGCTCCTGGGATGGACTAAGCTCTCACCTTTTGCCACTCTACTCAGAAAAAGGGGGTGGTTCCTTTTTTGACCCATGGATAAATTGACCCGGTTTTGGGGGGTGATTTTTTTGACTAACATTTCTAGATTTATACATGAGTATATACAATAATACAATAATATATATAATACAATGAGTATATACAATAATACAGAGTAGTTGATCTGTGGTCTCAGTCCTGTTGATAGGACAGGGTGCAGAGGTAAATTACAGTCCTGCAAATGTTGTCAGATGCCAACTACCATCAGCCCCAACCTGTAGTACAGGATGTTGGGAGCTTTAATCCAGTCATATATGAATTGCCACAGATCCCTCCACCCCCAGGACTATTATTATCATTACCATCTTCTGCTAGGATTCCAAGTGGTAATATGAAAAGGTTAATGATTATATCAGAATATACATATGTATGCAAATGGCTAGCTCATGAATAGTAAGAGCTACTCCATGGCAAATTTGTAAGTGGCTAAGATATATATCAATTTGATTACCTGTGCGTGCCCATGAGCAACACTAAATACACACATTTTCATTTTTCCTACAAATTCAACCCCCTGCTTGCCTTATTCCCAAATGTTGCACTTTTACAGATTCTCTTGCCAGCCCTTAGAAACTTACCTTTTCACCCCTCTGTGTTAGGCTGTTCATTTTGAGAGTTGAAAGGGCTTGGAGCTGCTCTTTCCATTATGAAGGCATAGCCATCCCCTTGCAGATTCCCATGGGCTTGCACTGCTTCTCTTAGTTCAGCAGAATAATCCATCTTCATAGACGAGGAAGGGCATCCTCCAACTGCACAGCTTGTTCAGGTAGGACCATTTTAATCTCTGGAGACCAAGCCTACCTGAAGTTTAGGCCCACACCAAGGCCTCAGAATCTCTGAATGAATTGACTCCACACTATCTTCCCCTACCATGCATGCACTGAGCCTGAACCAGGCCTTCCTTACTGGAAGGATGGCTTCTTGCAATATATGATATAGTAGTACTACTATAATTTCCCAGTGGCCTGTTCGCACTACAGATTATAGTGCTATTATTCCACTTTAAGTGTCATGTTTCCATCTTACAGAATTTCTAGCCAGAGTGCTCCAGTGCCTCACCAGACTACAAACCTCAGGATTCCATAGAATGTAGCCATGACAATTGAAGAGGAATGATAGCTCTATAATTGGGTAGTGTGAATGGGCCTGAGGTTTCAGAGGCAGCTCAAGGAATTATCAATAAGGAGCAAAGGACTTTTCTCCACAGTCCAATTGGATATAAAATGCCTCTCTTGCTACATCAACATGAAAATGACTGTACACTTTCCAAGATTACTTAGTTCTTGTAAAATGTAAAAATAATGAATTGTCATTTTTTGTTCCCCTGGAGAGATGATCTGTGCCTATAACAGTGGAATGATGTGCAGAAACCAAGAGGTTCTATCTTCCAGTTACTTCATCACCATACTGATGTACAACGATAGTCTACTTTGGTGCATTTTTATCTGCCACTGCTATAGAGTCCCCTGCCCCGTGTGTATGTGTGGGGGGACATTACCTTTATAGATACAATTTTATGGAAAGTCTTGCCAGCATCCGTAGTAGAATGTGGTGGAAAACAGAATTTCCATCTTCTATAATTTTTCTTCCCTATAGAAAGGCAAGAAACAAAAGAAAACAAAACAAAAATATTCCAACCAAAAATGTCCATATCTTCACTGTATTTATTTATTTATTATTTAATGTATATCCTGCTCTTCTCCTGACACAGGACCCAAACTGATTTATAACAATTTAAAAGAAACTGCAGCTAACATCTTGTTCAAAGATTTTTTAAAAACTAAATAAACAATTCTATTAAAAGCACACAGTTAAAACCATTTAAAACACACATTTAAAACATGGTAATAAATACTAAGATAAAGCACAACATATCACGTTTACTGTTATTATACCCTGCCAGACTGTATTTGTCTCCTCTCCAGTATCAGTGGGGTGAATCCTTTCTGGAAACTTCAAAGGAGTTTTGCAAGAAGCTAAATCCCACCATCAAATGGATTCAGCACCTTGGATAGCTCATTTGAAATTCAACTAAAAACAGGAACAGGTTCATAACCCAACTGACATTTGAGCCAGAAGACTTCATCCTTTCCTCTTGTTCCCATCTTCAGCTAAGGTGAAACTACAGAAACAAAACAACTGATTTCCAGAGTTTGTATTAACTGCAGTATCTTGCCAGGTCTGTCCATACAGAAGGTATACATTCTAGCAAAACATCTGTATAACAGCAAATAAGAGAAAACCAAAATGTTGCACCACTCGGTTTATTTTGTAAGAAGATAAAAAAAAATTAAAATATGATATGATGGGCAATGTACATATTGACTGATTTTAATCTAGGAGTGCTCAATAAGCATATGCTTACAAACTTGGACTACTAGCTGGACATTCTTATGGGCCTCTTATATTCAAAGCTGGTTTTTGGTTTGTCATATCATGATGAACCCAGTATCTTTACATTTCTACTTTGTCTATAGAAAAGCTGACTGAAAATTTGGAATGAATGAAGAAATGAAAACACTATTTATTCAATCAAATATGTATGGGAGGGTTCTTGAAAATCATTTGGCACTCCCTTGCTCTTTTGTCATCTGTTATTACTGCTTTCATTGATCAATAAGAAAATTGAAAATCCTGTATGTTCCTATTCAGAGGAAAGTGCATGCTCCAAGGTTATATAATTGCTGCTTAAACCAGGAGGTAGCAGGGCTCTAACATGAAAGGGAAACAAAGTAATGGAGTTGAAAAGGGAAAGTTCTCACTGAATGGCTGATATATTTGCCCATTTTCACTTGCCCTGTGAACACTATTTAGTGGAAAACAATGGCCACTGCCCAGACAGATCACTGGGCACAAGTCAAAAAGATCTGACCACACAAAGCAGAAGCTTTGATTTCTTTCATTTTGAAGAGGAGTCCTCCAAAGTACATTGCAAACATCGGAGAATCCAAAGTCTTCCCAGATATGCAGAGTTAGTTGCATTGCTCTATAAATATAGGTAACTGGTAATCTAAAGTAAATAACTACACTACATATGATTTATGGTGGAAGAACTATGATTTATTATTATTATTATTATTATTATTATTATTATTATTATTATTATTATTAAACCTATTTTGAACCTGAGATCACTTTCTAATAGATAGCAATGATGCCCTGGTGATTTTCCAGCAAATTTGTTCTTGTATGCCTTCAAATCACTTCCGACTTATGGCAACCCTAAGATGCCATAGGGTTTTCTTGACAAGATTTATTCAGAGGAGGTTTGCCATTGCCTTCCCCTGAGGCTGAGATCATGTGGCTTTTCTAAGGTCACCCAGTGGGTTTTATGGCCAAGCTGGGAATTGAACCCTGGACCCCAGATTTGTAGTCCAGCACTCAAACCACTGTTTCACATACTAATGGTTATAAGATGGGGGCTCTGTCAGTCACAGTACACCTTTTGTATGGGGCAGGAGTAGGCAAAGTGCAGTCCTGGGCTGCATGTGACCCTCTCGGGCTGTTTTTGAATATTTTAAATACTGTATCTTCAGCATGAACTGGCCCAAATGTTAATCTTTGGGAAGCGCTTTTGATCTATCTCACTACTATCAGAGGTTTTGTGTGATGAGGACAGGAGACAGAGTCCACTTGGTGGCTTCTCTCAGACTGTGGAATTCTCTCCCATGGGAAGCCAGATTGGCCCCCTCTCAGCTCTTTTTCCACCTACAGACAAAAACCTTTCTGTTTACCCTCAGTTCTTGAGTTTCAGTGGTTCATTGCAGAAGGAAGGTGTGCTGTGTTGTATTTTTATCATGATTGTTACGTTTTAATGGTCTTTAACAACTGTTTTAAATGAATGTTTTAATATGATTGCTTTTTTAAACTTTTTTTAAAAATTGTATTATCTATGTGGCTTTAACTGTGTTTTGTTCTAACCCATATTGTGAGCTACCTTGGGTTCCATATCAGGAGTAGGGCAGGATATAAACTAATAAATACATTTGTGTAAAGGTAAAGGTATTCCCCGTTGACAAAGTTGTCAAGTCGTATCCAACCATAGGGATGCAGTGGCTCAAGTGGTTAAGATGCTGACTCTGTTGATTGCAAGATCAGCAGGTTGGCAGTTCGAGGCCCGAGTGCTGCATGATGGGGTGAGCTCCTGTCACTAGTCCTAGCTTCTGCCAACCTAGCAGTCTGAAGGCATGCAAATGCAAGTAGATATACAGGTACCACTTCAGTGGAAAGGTAAACAGCGTTCTGTGCAATCATGCTGGCCACAGGATCACAGAGTAGTTTCTGCCAACGCTGGCTCTTCAGCTTAGTAACGGAGACCAGCACCACCCCCTACGGTTGATACGACTTGACAGCTTTGTCAACGGGAATACCTTTACCTTTACTTATATTTGTGTAGCCTTCAACCCCATCAGGCCTCTTGGCCTGTCCTATTACTGGCCAAAATAAGGGCAAGCTGCCTCTCCTGAGAGTTGTCTAAACCAGCGAGAAACCATGCACTCACCCAGTAGCCACAGTACAATTTCCCAGTCACTCAAAAACATGGGGGTGCCACTACATCTGATAGTCCTAATGAAGAATCTGTACTAAGGACAAGAGGCCACAGTCAGAACAGAATTTTAGAAAACAGAGTGGTTTCCAATAGGGAAAAGGGCCAGGCAAGGCTGCAACATATCACCCTACTTGTTTAACTTATATGCTGAAAACATCATGAGAAAAGCAGAATTAGAATCAGAAAAAAGAGAGTTAAGATAGGAGGAAGCAACATTAACAACCTAAGATATTTGGATGATGCCATATTATTAGCAGAAGACATTAAGGAATTGGAACAGTTAATAAGGAAGGTCAAAGATGAAAGTGCAAAGGCAGGTCTGATGCTGAACATAAAGAAAACAAAAATAATGACCACAGAAGGAATATACAAATTCAATCTAGACAACGAAGAAATTGAAATAGTTAAAGAATCCCCATATCTAGGATCAAATATTGACCAGAATGGAGACTGCAGTCAGGAAATAAGAAGAAGACTAGGAATGGGAAGGGCAGCTATGAAAGAACTGGAAAAGATACTGAAGAGCAAAGACATACAACTGAGAACTAAAGTTAGAATTGTTCAGGCCATTGTCTTCCCAATTACCATATGTGGATGTGAAAGCTGGACTGTGAAGGAAGCAGTCAGAGAGAAAATCAGCTCATTTGAAATGTGTTGCTGGAGAAGAGTACTTAGGGTACCATGGACAGCCAAGAAGACAAACAAATGGGTTCTTGAACAGATCAGACCAAGGCTCTCTTGGGAAGCAAAGATGATCAAGTTGAGACTATCGTACTTTGGCCACATAATGAGAAGGCATAGGTCACTAGAAAAAACAATAATGCTATGAAAGGTAGAGGATAGAAGAAAGAGAGGAAGACCACAAACCAGATGGATAGGCTCAATTGGGGAGGGGGGTTATGGGCAAGGGCTTTCAGGATCTGGGCAAGGCAGTGGAAGATAGATGCTCAAGGGCAGCTAACAACAAAAGTGATTCTGATAGCTCCACACTTACTGTGGCAAAATTGGAGCAACCTGGAAGAAAGGGGCCATCTTACAATGATCACATGTCCTACAGTGTAGAGTATTTTGGGCCACATGGTCATGTCCTAGCTGTCGATCTGGATTTTCCAGCCAAATGCAGAGTAAATGGAAGTTCTTTTCCCCCCAGCTTTTCAGAGGAAAGCTCAGCATTGCCTGTGAATCCTGAGGAACATTGTGTGTCCAAGTCACAACCACTATGCAATGAGTGTGGGGTTTCTCACCGGTGTACACAAGCCCCTGGAAGGCTCCAGGAAAGGCTACATGTCTTTTAAATTTTTTTGCAAGACCCCTGAATTATTCAATATTAAAAAATTACAATGTTTTCCAAAATCAGCCATCCAGCCACTCCTGGTTATTTGTTCTAGGGTTCTTTTTGGCAAACTCAAACAGCACCCAGAGGATGCCAGGGACAGAGGCCCATGACCCATGGTACAGTTAGACACCCCTTGCTTATGATTGATTGTGGATGAGATTAGTGCTCTGAATAATCTGTGTGAAGGGAATGTTGTTGGGGGGAAATATAGTGTAGACTGCAAGGGACAAACAGGCCTGAGTACAGCTGTGAGAGGCATTCTTAAGGGCCCTCAGCAGATACTACTCTGTTGTCTATAACCAAGATCTTTTACCCTTTTAGCATAATATTAACATACATCACCATATACAGTTGCCCCTCTGTTTTTGCAGACTTGGAGTCCGCGTCCCCTGCCCGTTTGCAGGCAGCAAACGGAGAGGGACAAAATGAGGCATGTGCTGCCATTCAAGCCAATGGGGTTTTAATATTGCCAATTTTGCATTTTTGCAGGGGGACGGAATGGATTCCCTGTGAAAGCAGAGGAACAACTGTACTTGGTCCCACATGCACAAATGATGACACAACAGGCACCATAGTCTTGAACTCACCTGCTGTACAATATTCATTTCACTTCTACGCACCAAGTCAAGAGGAAGAGGGCTCTGTGTGTGTGTGTTTCAAACTGAGGGTCTGCAGTAGGGACCCTCACTTATATAGCCTTCAAGAAAGTTGAACTGCTTGTGCACCTATTGATTCCACAGGATTCTAGCCTTTATTTGATCTGCCATTTTTTAAACTGCTTTTGATCTATCTGTGATGGAGAACAGTGGAACACAAATTATTACTGTACAATGAAAATAAAAGAGTAATGCTGTTGGGCTTCACATTTGTTCCTCTTTACTCCTGTTTACAAACAACTGGATACAGTGTACCAGCTCCAAGTTTTGCAACATAAGGACACTACTACCTTCCCTTGCTCTCACCATTACTCAAAATACTCTGAAAGGACTGGTGAGTAAGCAAATATATCAAGAAACTGGGCCACTTACCTTCTTGCTGGGATTTGGACGTTGACATGAGCCTGATTATGTTGACCTCTGGCACCAACTTTGGCAAGATATCACAACACTGTATTGCTAATCACTTCTCCAAAAGAAAACTAAAGCCTGAAGCACTGTCTCTGGAATTTCTCACTGCTTAGGAAAGTGGGGTGTTTCTGACAAATTTTCTAAAACAAAATTGCACTCAGAATAGACAAAATATAATAGATAGCCTGTTTCATTCTGTTTTTTTCTTACAAAATCAGTAAATATGTGAGTGAAACAGCAATGATCCAGACTAGCATTTTCTTAGCATATCTGTGAACCTCGAGCCCTTAAGTTGAATAACTTGATTCTGTCTTCTGAATGATATGCCAAAGATCAGCCAATCTGGATAGTCAGTACAAAGGCACAAAGCAAACTGTAATTTTGCACTCTGAGTGTAAATTCTCATGTGCAATTTAATGCATACCAAAAGGTCAGAAACAGTGAACCCACAGATGTCAACTAGAGTCTCTTTGACTTGAATAAATATTCTAGAGTACAGTGTGTTAAGTAATCCTCATGAAAAATAAATGTTTCAGGCTTGGCAGTGCAATATATATATAATTTAATTTTAAAAGTACATTGAGAATGGAGGAAGCTTTGTAGAAGGGCAGCTATGTTAGATTACTTGCAGCAAAAGATCAATGCCCTGTATTACTTTTAAGACAGTCAACTAATTTACTATGGGATAAGGTGCAGTTTGGATGTTTGTTTTGTTTTTAAAACAAGATAGGTATAGCATCAATCAGAACCAATCAATTTTAATCTTTCAGGTTGCTCAGTGCCTAGAACTGAACATTTCCCCCTCCTTGAAGAATCTGGGACACTAAAGACAATTGCTTGCCAAGAACAACTCAAGGAGAAAATGAACGACGATGTGCTTCTTGTCATTATTATTGAACATTTTAAGCTGGTGCTTTCTAGGAAGATCTGGCTACCATGTTTAGCAGAATGGCAGGCCATTCTCTATTGAAGGAGTTGCCTGTCTATTTATTAAGAAACTAATAATGAAGATGTGTGATTCAAACTTGCACCCTTCTGTTCCCAAGGATTCTGTGTTAAGAAGGAGTAAGTCTATAGATATTTCCAGGACACCTGCTGCACTGATTCAGAACTGGGTTGCATTTTTGCATTCCAATTAATTTCCAGGAAGTCTGTTAAACCTAATATGATTTCATCCAAGGAAAATTACTATAGGGCACTGAAAGTCTTCTACACAACATTCATTACTCCCATACTTTCCCCAAGAGTTCACTTCTTTCTGTAAAAGCAGCAATAGTTTTTGCATCTTCTATATACAGTAAATTGTTTGGCAGATCAAATGGTCAGCGTAGGGTTTTATTATAGGATTGTGTGTAATGCAACCTGAAACCCACATGTGAGCCTCCTTCTCTTGAATTGCTATTTAAGCCTTGGACTTTACACCTCCAGCATATTCCCTTATGTGATAGAA